ATAACATTTTGAAGTCAATGGAGGTAACCCCTAAGAATGACCAAACTTCCACTATTTTGTTTACGGTCCCCTTTAAAAATATTGCTAAACCATTATTGACACCAATGATGCCTCATTGTGGTAATAGGTAACTAATATAGGTATTGTAGAAGTATTTTTAATAACCATTGAGACAGAACAGTATTGCAATGAAGGTAAATCAAAGGTTTCGCCAGAGTAAAGTCTTATATTTTTTGAACTTATAAAAATATATCAATATTTAATCAGTGAATAAAGCGATCTGAAAGCAGTTCCAAGGATTGGTGAGTACAAGCTAGGGTAGATCCCCCTAATATATATATATATAATCTCATCATACCTATGTAATAGGTGCCTGTCATTATAATTTCTCTAACATACTTCTAAAAACGAAATCCGAAACTGTGTTCCTACATTGGCTTCATGGTCCTATAATCAAAGTTTATAAAGGAAATTTCTAGAAGATAGAATAAGGATACATATACGAGGGTTGTCCATAAAATAAGGTTCCCAACGAATTTTCACAATGAAAAACATGTTTATTGGCATTGAATAATACATGCTTGGAAAGCTTAGACTTCACTCTTTTTTTCGGCATAATCGCAATTTAAATCAATGCATTTTTACATGCGGTGTACCATCTTCTTTATGCCTGAGTCGTAGAACTCTGCCGCCGCTCCGCGAAGATAGCTTAAAACAGACAGAATTAGCTTAAACTTCTTCGCCTTTGGCGAGCCTGGATGCTTCCATTAACGCAATTGTTCTTTTGTTTCCGGCGTCATGTAGTGGACCCAGGTCTCGTCCCCAGTAACAACAGAGTCCAAAAATTCCTTGCCATCGGTTTCGTAGGCATGAAGAAATTCGCAGGCGGCTTCCACACGTTGCCGTTTGTTGTCATCCGTCCGCATTTTCGGGACCCACCTTGCCATATCCTAAGCGGTCTCTCAAAATGTTGTGAATGCAGGACTTACTGACAACAGGGATCATCTCGCTGAGGTCCCGAACCTTCACCCTTCGATCTTTCAGTATTGCTTCTTCCAATTTCGCAATCGCTTCGTCCGAAAACGATGGCCGGCCAGAACGTTGTTCGTCATGGGCGTCTGTAAGTCCGTTTTTGAATTCTCTGCACCATTTGCGCACATGTTGCACACTCATACACTCTTCCCCGTACGCTTCACAGAGTTGGGAATGAATGACCACCGGAGGAACGTTTTTTGCACTAAAAAACAAATCACAGAGTGTAATTCGCGCCTGGCGTGAGAAACAAATGGAAGCTCCATCTTTCACAGCTACTAAGACAAGAATTAAAGTTGTAGATACCTCGCAGGGGCGAGAACTGGGTAAAAGGGAGCCAAGTTACACGCCAGTCTCAACAAATCCCGCTTAACAGCGTTCCTAGCGTCCGCAGCTCCTTGGGAACCTTATTTTATGGACAACCCTCGTAGTAGGCATTAGTAATAAATCATGGTATATTTTATGCTCATATGAGTTTTACTTAATGAATAAATTATATATATTTCATTAATTTAATCAGCATTTATACAAGCTCGTTAAAATGTAAAATTAGGTACTTGAAATATTTAAAAAATCAAAGTTAAATGAAAATTTATCATATTTTTCATTGATTCAAAGTAAAAAAGTTTATCCTTTTTTTTTGCACACATATATAATTTATTAATTAAAATAATGCAAATGAACATACCTTGTTTGGTAAATATGTTATGCAAGCAAATATATTTTAGTGCTCTGAGAAATTTTCTGTTTTACCTTTGAAGCAAATTATAATAATGACTGCTTAACATATATTTTATAAACAATCATTTTAATATCAACATCTTTATGAAATAGATTAAACATTCAGAAAAAATTAGTCTTTCACAAAAGCATTTTTATTTATTTATCTCTTGGTTGGTAATCAAGCAATTTTTCAGTACATTCTATTTATAACCTTATATTTACATTATATAAATACTTATATATATAGGAATTAATTTTGAAATATACTTATACCACATAATTTAAATCTGGTTTTCAGCAAACCTTAATTGATTTTTTGAATTTTTAATATTAATGGTATTAGCAGCTAATTATAATATTTACCCATTGTAAGAAAATTTTTATCCTATACTCAATTGAGGAGACAGAATTTCAATATTAGAGAAATACTTGATTATACTTTTGGTAAAAAAATTAAGCTATTTTTTCAAACAATATTATTTATTGATGAAAATTACAAAGATTAGGAATATTTTTGCATAGTAATCTATGCCAAAATAATGATTCACAGGCAGCAGGAAACTAAAAAAATCACAGAAAAGTACTAATTCGCCGATTGTTGTTGATATAGGAAGATCCCTTAAAAGTTATTGAAAGCATCAGTTTTAAGAGTTACTTGCATTACATCAACTGACTGAGCATTTAGGATGGCAAGACATTTTACTTAAATTTTTTTCTTGCTGGTTATTCAATTAGAAAATTCAGTAAAATTTTTCCTTCCACCACTCAGTTAAAGAAGTGATTAACAATCAAATGAATTGTTCAAAGTAAGCGATAAATATGCTTATGTGATAAATATGCTGCTTATAAGTGAAAAATTTGTAGAAATAATACTTTACTGAAATCCCATTATTATTATCAAATGAAATTTTGTTCTAAAAATATCTTTCTCATTAATACTCCTAAAAATTAATTATAGTAGTATGAAATGTATCATTTATTTTTCTTAACTTGAATCACATTTTTTTCTTAGCTTCAATCACAATCAAAAAAGAAAATCATAAGTGCTTTTTTTTTAAAGTTTCAATATAATATTAAATTTTCTTTTCAAAAAGACAGATTTAATAAAATATGACAAACAATACTAACCAAGATAATGAAATCAGGGGTCTGTCCAGGGTAAATTTGCAACTGTTTAGAGGTACCTTCACAAATTCAACTTAAGGAAAAATGGTAGTTTTACAAAATGCTTTTAAAAAAGCCAGTTCTAAGATTCTTTTCTTATCCCCACCTCTTAAAATTTTGTTTTTGTATACCCGTAAGAAACAATAAATCCAGAGATAATTCCACATATACAATTAGGTAACGCGTGCTTGGTCAGATAGTGCGTTATGGTAAGTCTAACTGGTCCCTTACGCCATACTAAAGCCTTCTATTCTTTTTTTTTTTCTCTTCAAATTAAACGATGAGACGCTGCCTCTTTAAACTTTGCAGGGCATTTAACATTGTTCTAAATTTATGTTAACAGACCTTTATTTTTTTTAAAGAAACATTTTATTATCTGTGAAATTTTTTTTTTCTATATGACTCCATGGGAAATGTTCTCATAATGAAACGCAAGTACTGTTAAATGCTTTTTTTTAAAAAAAAAATTCAAGTTGTAATTTAACAAAGGTCAATGATTTTTAAATTTGGATACAATTTTAAGCCCAAAATTTTACAATAGCAAAGTTATTGTTGCACATATGGGGAAAAATATATAAAAATTTACCATTCATAAATAATTTTTATTTGTAGTGACAATATTTGAAAATGTTTTCTCACTTTACCATATTTTTGTGTTGATTTTTTAATATAATTTACACAAATTATGTCTAATATTTCACAAAATAGGTACCTCTCATAAAACCTTAGACAGACCCCTGATGAATTAACATTTAATGTTATAAATATTTTTTATGTATGAAATTTAGAGTAAGTGTATAATAGTTTGCTATTTATGTGATTTAAGCTTTGCACTATGGTATTTGATGGATGACCATTGCATAAAGGAATAATTTTATTATAAATATTACATAAGGCTTAGTTCTCTAGAAAATAAAAACAGTTTTAGAGAAAAGTATATATTAAAACATTGAAATTTCTAACATACTCTTGTTAGTGATTCAAATCTAATTATTAGATAATCAATGTGCTGAATCTTGGGTAAACCAAATAATTTGATCGAGTTATTCATAGTAAATAAACCAATTACTTATAAAATAAAATGTAGTGTAAATTTTACAATACATAAAAACTGACTTAATACTTCAAATTAGAAATGACTGAATATCAATGAATTTCTAATTAAGTATCCTGGTAACAACAAACTTTATAAATGAAACTGTCGGATGATTATTAAATGATATTTTACATAAATTTTTTAACAATATAAACAATGACTAATTAGGAATGTTAATTATTTACTCAAAAACACTCTTAAAACTTTGTTAGACAGTGATTTTATAGACATCCAATTTAATTAATAATCTGATTAAAAAAGTAATTGATTTACAATTCTAATTACATTAGCTAGAATCAGAGTTCTAGCAAAGTGCTATTTCAAATTCATATAAATTGTTTTTAAAGTACAGTATACTCTTAATATCTCGAAGTTCAACGGATATTCAAGGATTTTTAAGATAGTGGATTTTTGCGATAGCAAGTTCAGCTATATATTGTACATAAAAGAAAAACATATTTCAAAATAGTACTTTAAGAAGTAGAGTCGCAATACATAAGACTAACTACTAATAATTCTGTATGAAATGATAATAGACTAAAAGTCTAAATGTAACAATAATTTATAAAAGTAAACAAAACAAAAGTTAACAAAAAAATAATTAAGTAACAAATATTAATACATAAAACAAGAAACAAAATATTAATAGTAAAGGAATTTGTTTACAATTAAATTGCACTGTGATCTTTCTAAAACAATTAAATTTTCCATAAAGGAAAATATTTAGCATCATAAGGTTTTGAGAAGAAACTCTTCGACATAAAAATTCAAATTAGCATTAGGTGGTCATGCAATGTCAAGGAGAAAAATATTTTTTTGACGTTACAAGGTTTACGAGATATAGAAGCATCGAGAGTATACTGTATGTCACCCATATTTACATGTCTAACAAAATTTTAATAAAGATTAAATTATCCAGAAATAGTTGCAAAATAACTTTAATAAATTGAATCTTTGTCAAACTATTGATTATGAGTATTCTTTATTATGTAGTTATTATAGCACCGACATCACCATGATTCAAATAATGATGATCACGATCATTAGGATTAAAAAACGATTTTTCACATAGATCACATGGATACTGTTTTTCAATAACACAAGTAGTATAATGCTTTTGTAAATCTTCAAAGTCCTCGTAAGCTTTTCCACAAATTTCACACAAATGTACTTTTTCTTCCGTAGTTTGAGTATGAGTAGCTGTATGTCGTTTTAATAAACTCTTGGAAGTGAAACTTTTAGGACATACAGTACAGGAATAAGGTTTTTCTCCACTGTGAGTCACATAATGCTGTTTTAAATGTCCCTCTTGAGTAAAACCTTTACTACAAACATCACAAGTGTATGGCTTTTGACCTGAATGCGTAAGGTAATGCCTCTGTAGTGTTGCATTATTAGCAAAACCTTTATCACAAATATCACATATATGAGGTATCTCAGCATTGTGGGCAATATAATGTTCCCTTAAATGACTCTCTTGAATAAATCCTTTACTACAAATTTCACATACATGAGGTTTTTCTCCTGTATGCAAAAGCATGTGTCTTCGAAGGGCACTTTTGTATGTGAAACCTCTATTACATGTTTCACATGTATATGGCTTTACACCTGAATGAATTGAATAATGCTCTTTTAAATGATGTTCTTGAATAAATCCTTTGTTACAGTATTCGCAGGTATAAGGCTTTTCACCTGTATGAATCAAATAATGCCGATCTAATGTGGATTTATTAGTAAATCCACGATTGCAAACTGAACAAACATGTGGTCTCTCACCAGTATGAATCAAGTAATGTCGAGCTAAAAGTGTTTTATTTTTGAATCCTTTATGACAGATATCGCATTGATGTGGTTTACCATTAGTATGCGTAAGGTAATGACATTTAAATTTTATTTCTTCTAAGCAATCTAATCCACACTTAGGACATACAAATGGTTTTTCGCCAGTATGAACTTTACGATGATCAGCCAAATCTTCATCAGTCATAAACCCTTCTTGGCATATATCACAAAGATATGGTTCTTCTCCAGTGTGAATAAGATAATGCTCAACCAAATACTTTTTCCTAGTGAAACCTTTAGAGCACACAGTACATACATGTGGCTTTTCACCCGTATGGCTTAACAGGTGCTGTTGAAGGTTATATTTCTTGGAAAAAACTTTATTACAGTAATCACAGTTGAATGTTTTAGGCGGATTGTGAGACGATTTATGTTTTCTGAGTTCGTTTTTTGCTTCAAAAGTTTCTCCACATATATCACAAAAGAAATAACCATGATGGTTCGCAAATTGTGGCGTAATCCCTATGTTGCTGATGTCGTAAACCATCATCTGTATTCCCTCTCCATCAGAAGCCATCAATGCATCTTCTATGTTCATAGCGAATAAAAGATTTGGAAAAAACGATTATCCACTATAAACAGTTTCAAATGTTTCGCCTTTCAATATTACTTAATAACAACACAAAACATGGCGGTTTTAGAGGAGTTGAGAGAATAGTAAATGTTGTTGCCAATTTATATTTCTGATATTTCCAGCATAAAAACAACTAATCAAGTGAAAATATAGACATTAGCGCCACTTTATATTTGCTTTCTTTGGGTTTTTCGCTTTCAACTAATGCTTTGCTTTTTTAAAATTATGCGATTTTCTATTTCTGAAGTATAATTTTATTTTAGAATACAAGAAACTTGAATTTACAATGAAAGATTTGAATTTATTTTTATTTTCACCTCAGTGTTCAAGTGTTCTCTCTTTATTGTTTACATTAATCTATGTTTCTAATGTTTGGGCACGTGCTTCTTGTTTCAGTTTTTTCAACTTTTTACATTTTTAGTTTTGTTATCTAATCTGCTTAACACAAAGAGAGTGTGTCATAAAATGATAACATTCGAAATAAAAGTTAATGAGAAACTTTAATTGTCCTCTTTTTTAATTAGTCAGTGGTCAATTGCTAATGAAAATTTTAGGTTAAATTTTCAATAGTTTAATTTAATAAATATGACATCTTCAAAAATGAAAACAATTTTTCTTAGTTTATTTGAATATTATACACCAAAAATCGTATTGATTAAAAACAAGAAAGTAGGTGTATTAAACCGAGTTGTACAGTTATCCATAATAAGTTATATAATAGGGTAAGTGCACTTTCTTGCACTGTTTTTGTTGAAAATGAGGAATTATAATTCTGTGATGGAAAAAAAATTTTAATAAAATTATTTACTCCTAAATTTTTTCGTCTGTTAAGGCTTAAATGACAAGAACTATCAAAATATTTTGTTGTAAAAATTAATGTGGTTTTCATCACTATGATCTGTGATTTTAATCCAAGCTTAAAACTTTTACTTAGTTTTAAATTTACTTAAAATATGTTTTTATGTATGAATCAAAGATACAATACAATAACTTGTCGAATTTTTTTGTGTTTAAGATTCGGAAATGTTTATTTTATATGTTTATTATTATATTCAATACTAATATTAATAATTAATAAATGATATAATTTAGCTGTGCTCTTATAAATTAAGGTTTTTAATAATTTTTTTAAGTATATGATTAAGAAATGTATATTTTTAATATAGTTGTAACAGCATATGAAGGGACACGCAGTATTGATCTATTGATATCAAGATATTTTGTCAACAATTAGGATATTAATAATTTTTTCAATTATGATATTGAGTGTTTTTGTTAGGTTTTAGTAGAGGCAGAATAGAATATTTTTAACAGGCTTTAGATAAATTCTAAACAATATTTAAAGATTAATATCTTCTTAAGTATAAATAACTTACCACATGTTTCCCTTTCTATCTTAGTAAAATAATGTATATGGGAAAAATATACCCTTATTCTAATAACTTATATAATATCTCTTTTTCTTCCTAAAAGCACAGTCGCAATTAGTAAAAATACAAGGTTTTGTTTGGTTTTCTTATTAAGCAGTTTAGAAGCTTTAATGTTGGGACTGCAACCTGTTTGTCTCATAAACCATGAGCATCGTTGGCGGTGGGGATATATGTTCCCACTAATAATTTGATATCTCTTAAAGTTCTTCTCAATATTTCAGACAAATAAAAAAAAAATTTCATTCGCATTTTTTTTTTTAGATCAACTAAATTAAAAATGAAGGAGAGTTAAAAATATTTAACCTTTCTATATATGTAAGAAAATTTTTTCTTAAGTTGAAGAACTATTATGACTGTATTTTAATTCTATCTCCATTAAATATTGGACCCTCTGGACTTACGCTCCATAAGTTAACTACTTTTGACATATATTTTTTACTTCATTAAGAATTATAAAATGTTTTGTTTATGCAGGTTGGTTCTGAAATAAGTATTAAAAAAATATTAATTTTAAGAACTCTATGACAGATACAAATTTGTAGATAGTGATGTGTTTTAATAAATTAGTCGACAAAAATGAAATTTTTTCAATTTTAAATCAGCATAGTTGGTTTTAAGATGATTTTAAACAGTTTTAGGGTAATGTATTGAAAGTATTTGTAATTGATTTTTAAGTATTCATAATTGATTTATTTAGAATCAGTGCTGAAGCAAGCAGTTATCTAAAAGAAATTATGATAATATACCTTATAGGTTTCTTGTAGTGATTAGTTTACAGACAGGGATACTCTTTTAATCTAGTAGTATTCCTATTTTTCGGTAATTTTCCAACATTTTAAATTTGCTAAAATATGTAGTGACTTATAATGTTAATTTATTAAGTAATGTATTAACTTTTTTATTTATGTAATTGAATAATATCAAATCCAAGTAAACAATTTGAGAGATTGCTTTTTTATATCATAATTTATTATTATTTTTCTTTTCAGCTATGCAATAATTTGGAATAAAGGATATCAAGATTTCAGTACTATTGAAAGTTCTGTTACAACCAAAGTTAAAGGTGTAATTTACACAAATTTTAGCGATGATGAATTTAATCCTTTAGTTCCTAATACAAATGTTTATCGTCGACTCTGGGATACAGCAGATTATGTTGTTCCTGCTTCTGTAAGAAAGTTTTAAATTTCTTTTAGCTCTAAATTATTTAAAATTTTACAAAAATTTGTAATTATTTATTTTTTTAACATTACAGTTATAGTTAGTTGATTCTTTAATCAATTCAAATTCATAAGTATTTAAGTTGTTTTGAATTTGAATTAACACAACTTGGAATTTTGTGAAAAAAATTAATTTAACGCTATATAGGGTATCCCGTTAATGTTGCAACAGACTTCTAAAGGAAGTGGGGCACATCATAAAGATTAAAAATTACCTAGGAAATCATGATCGTAAATAATGTCGCTAAAAGCACTTTCCTAGCATGAACAATTATATTGTGTGCCTTTAAACTGCAGGTACTTTTGAAATACAGGTGCAGGTGAAATAGGTTTAGTATTATCCGTTTTTGTAATTGAATGATTTGACAACTAACTGGACAAGCTCGCCTAATCATTAAATTACCATAAAACAGCATTTCTGGGATGACAGCTGATTCTTTTTAAGAGATTGCAGCTTATTTTTACTAAAAGGGCAAGGAGATCGCATTTATAGGGATCAAAGGGCAGACGAGGCGGTTTTGACTATGACTAATAAACTTTTGAGATAGCTATGTTATATGTAAGAGAATACAATATTAAACAATTTGTTTAAATAGTTATCTTTATAAAAGTGAAAAATTCTTTAAAATTTACTAAAAATTAATAAATTTTAAAATTTATGTTATTTTGCTCAGAGTCTTAATATTGTAAGGTTAAACTATATTTTATTTATATTAAGTACACAGGTTTTAGGGGCCCTAGTAAACTGATTATAAGAAACAGTTCTCAGTAGATCACTGAAGCGAGTGGGTGTCCACTTTGATTAGTCTGTGAAAGGAGTGAGGGCTAACAGTATTGGTCCTCATTAAACTATTCTCCCTTAAAGTGCTCATCTTCATGCACAGGTCTTTAGACTACCTCAGGGAGACATCTCTTAAGAAGATCAAAAGTGTTATACCTCTCCTCTTCTCATCCTCAGAGATGTTTCTTAGACTGTTTTCAATAGCCCATTGTACAGCTCTGATCGAACATAAAGTACTACACTTTTATGTTGACAAATAACATTTCGTTCAAAATTTACTGTCTTTTTATTAATATCTTTTAAGACTTGATATTAAAAAAGTACTTTTTCCATGGGAGGCAGGAATAATTTTTCTAAACCACCTATAGTAGATTTAGTGTCATTTATAATCCCAAATCAGAATTGTGTGTCTTTCTGATCTTCTTAATTTATCATATTTCTTACTTAATTTTAAAACTCTTATGTTTAAACTTTCTGTTATAGGAAAATAATGCATTTTTTGTTATCACAAATGTTGTGATTACATCTAACCAAACACAAGGAATCTGTCCTGAAGTAAGAAACATTTATTTTTTCTTCCTACCACTGCACTAACTGGCAAAATTTATTATTTTATGTATTATTATTTTAAGTATATTTATTATTTTAAATACAACAACATGGAATTTACATTTTTTATGTATTTTTTTAACACTTTCACTGTCCATTCAACTTTTCATATAAAAATGACACCTTCCTTAAGGGTATGAATGGGTCAATAGATCTCTGGTCGATGTGCCTTGCTCGTTGGAGCTGCCCAACCTCTAAGCCTAAGGGTATGAAATGGGTTCCTTCTTAAGACAGTGTCAAAATATTATCAGAATGCTCATCTCCAAGCAAAGTTCGTTTTATATATATATAATGAAATCTCTCTGGAGCGCCCACTCTCTGTTCCACATTAAAATGTTCATTAATGGAGGTTGGTCATTGTTAGGGGTTATCTTAATTGACTTCAAAATGTTATTGAAGGTACCCGATTTTTTGCAAATGATTTTGATTTTAGTTAGTGTCATTTTCTTGTTGCGGAAATGTCATTTTATTACATTGCGCATGAAGCGTTATGAAAACTGTATCGATTAATAAAATTTAGCGTCTATAAAAATCAGCCCTACTGATATAGTTATGTGTAAAAACAAATTTACCAATTATGAATGATAGAACTATTTTAAATAAACAATTGTGCTTTTTTGTTTAAGTTTGCATTTAATTTTATATCATCAAAATTAGTTAGATTTAAAAGATGAGAAGAGGTTTGATTGTTTCAGATGCTTAGTTTTTTCTAAAATGACTTTTTTTTTCTAATTTAACTTTCAACTCTAAAAATTAATCATTGATAGCATCCTGTTTAGTGCACTCTGGTTGTAACATGAGGTAACGATGAGGAACGAGTTTAACAATCTCTTTCAGAGATCGTTAAAAAGAGCTTTCTAAATAAAAGACACAAATATTTTGAATACATTATAATCTACTTATTTGTTTTGTTAAAATTATTTAGTCATTTTCTTAATTTGGTGCAAAGATATGCCCGATCGCTGGGAGAGGCTCTGATGATCTCTCCTAAAAATTTCTTCAACACAAAGTTTATGGAAAAAATTCTATGCCTACCAAAAGTGGTTGTAAATCATGGAGATTGCTATATAGAGGTTTCACTGTATTATTCTTATTTTGAGTTGTAAGACCTTTTTCCGAAGAAGCTGTATTATTGACATTGTTATAGCAATGACAATTAATTTCCTGAATTCAGGACGCGCAAACGATATGTCATTGTCTCAATCTCTAAACTCATTGACATGTAACTCACTAATTGATTGTTTGAGTGATTATCTTTCTTTAACTGTAAAAAAAAAAGGCTAACAATTTTAATAAAAGTTCTAAAAGGAGTATCTTTATTCCTAGTTAAATGTTCAAAAAGTGAGGCTTTAATTAAATGTGCAAAATATTCATTTGGATGTGTATTGGTGAACTGATTCTAATTGACTTATTGTTCCAGGAATTTTAGTATTTTATTATAATGTAATGAAGAAATACAGGGTAACTATTAAATTATACTGTGATTAAATTTATGGATAAGTTGATAGGCCATCTACATTTACTTTTTTAAATATCAAGTAGTCTTTCAATTTAATAACCATTTATTATATCTTTAGTGTATTTCTTGGCCTTTTTTCCTTTATATTTTTAATTTTTTTTTTTTTTTTTTTTTGGATGAGCTTAACATATTCATATAATTTTTATATTGGTTATTTCTTTTATTGTTATAAAACTACTAATTATAGGCTAATCTTCAATGTATAATAAAATAATTTTTATTAAGAGACAATAAATATATATATATATATATATAAAATTTTATGATATTAATTTTGTTTATTTGAAGGTTATTGCATTTTGACATTTTTAAATGGCTAATAATTTGTTATAGTACATGTAAAATCACAGTTGTTTATCAAATTTAATGTTACCTATTCTATAACAATTTATAATGAATATAGACAGAAAGTATCATGTTTATTCAGCGAGGATATGGATTACATTTTGAAAATCTTGATTTGTTGAATGGGGTAAAAAATTGTGAGATCATATATTGATTAGATTATAATAAGTTAATATGAAGCTTAAAAACGTGTGAAGTAACATATGTTCATGAGGCTGGATTGGTTTTCAAATAACAAAACAGGTCTCTTACAGAAAAGGTTCAATGTTACGGTAATTTTTTAGTTAAAAAAATTGTAAGTAGATCTTTCACAAATTTACAGAAACAGTATCGCTTCACAATGTGTCTGGGCAGACCAATAATTTTTTGTCATTTTTCACAAAAAGTATTGAATGAACTTTGTTTTTTAATAAAATATGACTACTTATTCAAAATAATTAATATGTATCTGTAAAAATCATGAACTTCAAATTTTAAAATTAATTTAAGTATACATATTTTATTTTGATTTTCAATTAAATTATCAAATAACAAAAACGAATGCAGTTATTGATACTTTTATTTTAGGATATGTCATTGCAGCATGTGAAGTGCTGGGAATATATTTTGGTGGATTTCATCTTTACAAAATTATTAGGATATTGTTACCTTGTATATGTTTTTTGGAAACAAAATACATTTCTTGGCTTATTGCCCCCCTGTCTTTGTTATGCTAGGTTAAAATTTTTTATTTAAATCTCTGTTTTCAATTAAAGTTATGGAGTTATTATTCTAAAGTTATTATTCTGAATTAATAAAATTAATGTTCACATTTTCATATTTTAGATTAAAATATTTTTCTCTCATATTTCATGATGAAACATTTTCTATCTTTCTCATAGGATCCTGAAATAACTAAATGTACAACTGATGCAGATTGTGTTCCTGGTGGTTCTGTTATTACGGGCAATGGTATGACTGTAATTTATTATATTAAATTGTATTTGTAGAATAATTGTAGAATTTGGATTCATTGTTATAAATCATAGATATAAATTTTTGACAAGAAGTTATTTTGGCAAAAATATGAAAAGAATTATACATTTCATAAATTTTTTTCAATCCTAAACCTTTTTTTAATATGTATATGTAAATAAATACTTTCTAATCTATTTCTGTATTACCATTAATTATCATAAATAAAGGAATTTTTTGCATAAAATTATGTTTCATTTACACAATTAAATCTCATTGCAATAAACACAGGTGTCGCTCTTAATTAGGACTGTGAGATATATCTCAAAATTTTGATTTGAAACATACATTATCATGCCGATATAGTGGCTTTGTTTCTCAAGATGCATAGGAACTCTGAATTAAGCCACGAATATAAGAAGTTGCTTGCAATGTAATAATATGCTATTTAACATTCAAGGATTTTTGCTTACATGCATGCTGTTATTTCACTGACAAGATGATTTTGATTTCATCTAGTTAAAAGATGATGTTGATTTCATGTGTCTATGAAAGTTATGTTCGTTTTGTAATTTCTTTGGTTTCTTTTTGCACCTTTTTTTCTGTATTTTCAACATTTCTTGAAGATTATTCTCTGTGGGACTTTTGTTACTTTACAATCACTGTGCATCATTTTGTCACATTTTATTGTTTGGGTTTAAGATTTCTTGTAGATTATTTTTTGTAGGACCTCTATTACTTTGTGATTGCTGCGGATTATTTCATTCTCAGCTCAATCTATTTGCAAAAAAAAATTATCTCTCAAAGAAAAGTTTCTCCAAATTTTTTTTTTTAAATTTTTTATTTAAAGTTTTTTTTTATTTTAGCTGTATAATTTAATAGTCATATTGTATATTTAAATAATTTGTACTTTGTTATAATAAATTTGTTTGTTCCACTTTTTTAAAAAAAATTTTCAATTTACGTAAGTATAATAATTTGATAGAATTTTATTATTTTTAAACAAATGAATATTTAGTCATTTTTGTTTTTAAAAGTAAAAACAAAGCTTACATTTATTTATTTGATACTGGCTATTAGTAAATCCCATCTTTTTATTTTAAATTTAAAAAAATACAATATTTTGAAAGCAGTTTTTTTTTAAATCATTTAATTACTTTTTAAGTATATTTTGTTAGTTTTCCTAACCATTTTTTCTCAGTTTTGTAAAAATTTCTCATAACATGTAAGTTCATTTTTTAAAAAAAATTTTATCTTTCTTTTTAATTCTATAGATTTTTGATTGTTTGATTTTGATTGTTTTGGTTGTTTCAAAAAAATTAAAACAATATTTACCTTAATTTTTTTCTGAACAACTTAATCGTTTAATTTAATAAAAAGTTAATTGATGTTTTGTTGTAAAAAATGAGATTGTTGTAAAAAAGGAGATGTTTTGTTATAAAAGTTATTGATGACATTTGATGTTGAAGTTAATATTCTTTTAGTCAGTTATTTGTTTTGAATAATTTTATTTTTCAAATGAAAAAAAGTGTTAAATAAGATTTAATTTTTTGACTTTATATTATTTCATCAGGTATAGTTACAATTACTAGTTGTAATCTGTGAAACAGTTGTAAAGATTGCATAGAATGTTTAAAATATTTTGCTCATTCATTGCATGAAGTAATGCTAAGCAATATCAACTAATTTTGATTTACCTGCTGTTTATTCTATCCATTGGTTTTAATGAATTTAACAAAATTATATTTAAAATATATATTTAATTTTGTAACAGTTTAAATCACAATGTAAAGATTCATTTTAATTTTTAATCAATTCAAATGTTTTAGGAGTTTTCACTGGTAAATGTATTACATCTGATGTAAACGAAACTGTAACTGTATGTGAGATTAAAGCCTGGTGCCCTGTTGAAAGAGATGTGGATATCTTGTAAGTATGGAAACTAAGTAGAAATTAAGTTAACATAAGATATTTTTCATCATGTTTTTGTTTTGATACTGTTGACTAAGATTACTTTGCCTCTCTATCTCTTTTAATTTTCTATCATTTGGAGAGTGATAAAATAATAATTTTTTAACTTGATTGTTAGCATATGAAATTGATATATACAGACATGTGATTTTTCTGCTTATATGTGTATCTCAAAAGTGCTGATTTGCAAACTTCTGTCAATCAAAGGATTTGAAATTCAAATCACACTTTGGAGTTTTCAATTTTTGATGTGACGATTCCATGGATTTCTAGACAATCATTGCTGCTAATTTCCGCATAGCTTTTAAAATCACAATATTTTTAAAACTATTTTTTTTGTTATACCAGAAAAATCTTAAATTATTTAAATGATGACTTTTTGATGTATTCAGGGCTCCCAGGCGTTAGAAAGAACAGGGTGAACCTGAAATTGTCAGAGAGTTTTATTTTGATTCTTAAAAGAAGGGAATAAGTCAGGGAAAATTGCCGTTTTTTATTTTTACAAAAACCTTTAAAATTCTTACATCATACCTGGAAAAAAACCTATTTTAAAATTGTCATTAACAGTAATTAGTTATTGAGATTAGATTTAAATAATTTTAACATCTATTACAATTATTGATTGTAAAAATCTTACATTTTAGTGAAACTTTCCCTAGTTTCCATCCTTATTCAATGATACTTTTTTGCTCACAAAATCTAATATCAAATCACGAAATCAAAGTTTTCTGATTTAAAAAATTACATAGTATACGTAGAATATGGTCGGAATTTACATCGAAATTTTATTGAAAAGATACCTGAGAAAGTCAGGGAATTTTTTTTTAATGAAGTAGAGACCCTGCATATTTTGCCACAAATTCAGATGATTTTATAGTCTGTTTTTTTTTAAGCTGTTACCACAGATTTCATGGATTTTAAAATCAGAGATTTTAATTTAATGTGACTGCTGCCTACAACATAAAATATTAATAGATATGGTATAAAAATATAATGTGTTACTATATTCTTATGCTAATTCTAATGTGTTTTATAGTTTTTATTTTAAGTTCTATTAAATGTTTTTAGGAAAACCAAGACTGCACTTTTACCAGAAACACAAAATTTTACTGTACTCATCAAAAATTTTGTTGATTTTCCTAAATTTGGAATTAGAAGGTAATTAGTTTCATTTTATTATATTAATAGAAAATCAATTGAAAATATATATGTCTGTGGGACTAATTTCCATATTGAGAATGATGTTATAAAATCTTTCATTTTTAGTTAATTTTATATAAGTTATAAACAAATTCTTTACAATCTATAACCAAACATCATACCATTTTAAATGCTGTATATGATTTACATATGGTTTGGACACTTGTTTTTTATTGAAATTTCAATTCTGTCTTGTTCAAACTTAAAAACTGATTTTCTAATTATAAATGAAAGATCTAAAATTGCCTATAGCAATATATGCATTAGATAGAATAAGAAGTAATCAGAATTGAGTCTTTTCACTTATTTTCTTATTGAAACGTTCAAGTTTTTATTGAAATAGTTTTATTATTTTTTTTGTGGGATACATTTTTTAATTGTTGGGATACTATGTCCGTCAAAAGCAATTTAAAAATAAGGCTTTATTGGATATTTACTTGATCTTTATTATATATCATATTTTATATATTAATGCTGATTTTATTTTATTTAAGTATTGGGAATATAGAGTATATGAGTATTACTTTTAAAATATACTCTTGTTCGTGAAAGCTTAAAAGAATTTATTTTACTTATGTTCTATATTTCAATTATAAGCATATATATTTGTAATATTTGAAGTAAATAATATAGTTTTAAGTAAAATTGGAGAATCATCTGCAGTTTACATTGTAATTTACTCTTATCAAATCTAATTTTAATTAGTTTATTTTTTTATTGAACGAAATTATAAAAATAAGAACTTAATTGCGTGCAAATTGTAAATAAGTTTTTTTATTATTTTAATTTTTACTCCTGCATCCAACTAAGATTTAATTTATTTGTATGGTAGTAGAGCACTTTTTTTTGCTCTTGTTTGGTTTCTTGCATATAGACAGAAAATATACTATCTTAACTAATTAAAAAATTTTTAAAAGATTTTCAATGATAAAATAAATCATGGATATTAATCTGTTCTAATTATAATTTTAATAATCAAAGATATAATTTTTTTTTATTAAAGTCTATTATGTTTACTTATATTATTTGCTTAACTTCAAAAATTGTTTTGCACTTTTTCCAGCGTGCACAAATGTTTCTGTGCTAAGCAAATTTTAACCATTTCAATAACAGGAGGAATACTGGTTTTCTGAGCAGGAAAGTAACCAGTTGTCTGTAAATATAACAGCATATTTTTAGAAGATTACTCAATGGAGAAAATGTGATATTTAAAGATTAAAAAGCATAATATCTATTACTTAAATATTACTAGCAATTCTGGGTTAATAATAAACTTAAAATGTTACATTTCTTTCTATCACTAAATTCACTTGTTAACTACAAATATGATTCGGTTGAACATGTGTTTGCATTCGTCACAATTTTCTAGCTGGAGAGAGTCATCAAAATGAGTTAGTTTTTATTGTATATTTTTAAATACACATATAGTGCATTCATGAAAAGCAAGCTGTCAGAGAATAATGCCTGTTGGCAATCAATTGGAAACAACAGCTTTTAGTAAGAAATTTTTTTTTTTTTTTCTTCAATGCCTAAGCCACACTTTGGTTGAAATCATTTAATATTTTTTCATGTTTAGAAAAATAATTTGAAAAATAAAATCTCTTTTATTTTTTGTTTCTTTTGTGTCGTTTAAGCAATGTGTGATTGGGATGCTTTATGTCCAAAAACCAACTTTTAATCAATTTTTCTCAGATTTTTATGAATTGAAATATCTCACATTATAGTTTTGGTTTTCAGAAGTAACATTCCTGATTTTAAAGAATCTTCCTATTTGAAAAAGTGCACTTATGATCCAGTAGAAAATACACTCTGTCCAATTTTTGTGTTAAAAGACATAGTCCCTGGTGATTATACAGATTTAGCAAGAAAGGTAACACTTAAATTACTGTAAATTATAGTATTGTTATTCAATTATATTTGTGGTTGACTTATTTATTTTCAGGTAAAAATTTTGACTTTCTGATCCTATTTATATATATGCTTTAAAATTTTTAATTTATAAACTAATATTAATAGCTACTATTATTTTAGCTAATATTGTCTAATTATTTTAAAAGAAAACAAAATTTAGTCTGATATATATGAGATTTGTATTTAAAATATCTTAACTCTGATGTCTCCAAGTCTGTTGTAGATAGATTTTATAGTAGTCACATATATAATTCTTTGAACTGATAGACAATAAAATTAAAACTAATGTATTTTATCTTAATTTTTAAAAATAAATTGGAACTATTTTTTTTTAGTAGAGGTATTTAAGCCATTTTATTTAATTTAAATGTATTATTTAGAATTTTGGTAAATATAATGAAAAAATGTACACCAAATCTTTATATTTTTAAAGGCAATATCTTATTTTATTCATTTTGTACATTAACATCAATTTTTAAAGTAAAGTTTTAATAATGATATAATTATTATTTTTTTAAAAAAATATTTAGGGTGCTGCAATTGCTGTCGTAATTAACTGGGACTGTAACTTTGATTTTGAAGCATCTAAATGTTACCCTACATATTCTTTTCGAAGATTAGATGAGAACTCTAAAATCTCTCCTGGGTTAAATTTTAGGTAAGCTGACTCGTACAGTGATCTACCTTTTTCATTATTATGAATGTTTCTTTTTAATGACTAAAAATATCTTAAAGAAATACAAATTATTATTATTTTTCTTTTTAAAATTTGCATTAAAATGTATTTATTTCATTCATTAAACATTTAGTGACCTATTCTTCAAAATGGTTGCAATATATTGTATATTTCTTTAATTTAATTTATGCAGTGGAACCCAGATTTTACGTTGTGCATCCCTCTTTCTACATATTTTTCTGCTAGTCTTTGAAAATTGCCTATACCAAAAGGGTATTTATTTGTAAAAGTGGATTTTCCGTTTGAATTAAAATCAAAGTATGATGGGATGGGTAAAGCACGGGTAGGGTGGTTAAAAGATGTATGGGAGCTTAAATTGTTAAATTTGCCAGTGGAAATTTTTCTGCAAACTTTAACCTTTGAAGTTAGGGAGAATCCAATCTTAAAGAATGTTACACTAAATAACTGGTTAAGTAATTATTTCCTTTTCTTGATACCAGTGAATTCCAAGATACTTCTAAAGTAAAAAGAAATTTTCTTGAAACTTTGAATTTGATTTCGACTGTGTTGTACAGCATTCACCAAAATGCATTACAAGTGGATTTAATAAAGCTGACTTCTCGGTATCCAACGAGACCATTTGCCATTCAAAATAAAATCGAGCGACTGAAAATCTTCCGAAGTTGATTACGTTTATATTGACAATAACACACATCTCCATTACTTTTCAAATCCTTTAATATCTGATTTAATTCCTGCGACCGATAATAATGTTGAAATCTATGAAGAAGAGTAAAAATATCAGAGGATATACTCACAAATGATAGAGTTGCTAAGGTAAATGCAGTTGTTAAATTATTTTTACATTAAATATTTAAATATCATAATTAACTAAAGTTAATATCTTTAGAAGAGAAGGATCCTTTGTTTTAATTATTACTTTTGCTAATTATCAAAGTATCTAGTTTGCTAATTATCAAAGTTCTTTTCACAAAACTTGTGCTTTCAAAAATGATTCAAAATTATAGCATGTGCACCTTTAGAAGCATAGCAGATAAGGGAAAAATCTGAGTAATTTTTTTTACATAATTTAGGTGTACATGCATTCAAATTATAGAAAGAAGAGTAATAAGAAAAATTAAAACAATTACGATAAAAGAAACCTTAGACTTTTACCGGGATTCTATTCTATTGCTGGAAAAAACGTATTTCTGATCCATTAAATATGTAGGCTCTATTGACTTTGTATAAAAAATTTCTGTTCTTATATTCCACGATCTAAGAAAATTTGCTCTATTTGCAACAAGTTCATCATAAATGCTCATGTCACATTTCACAATGCACATTTTCTGGTAGTTATTAAGGTTTTTTATTGTTTAACCATTTCAATATGGTCTTTGTAATCCCAATATGGTAAATACGTTATTATTCCGACAGGCAATTTTGACGCTCTCAATTCCTTCATAAATCAAGGTGATAGCTATCAATTTTTTAGTTCTATACATTTGAATTTTACTTTTAAAATTCATTTTTTTAAAGATAAAATATTTGTGTGATTTGTGAATGTCTAATCACTTAAATGAGCTAATACTTTTTGACATGCTCAATTTTTTAAAATCTTGATTTTTTTTCAATATGAATTTTTCATTATGTATTATTATCTGTTGAACACATATCTTTGGGAAAAAAATTCTCTTTTTTTTAATTTTTATGAAATTTTTAGAAATAATTTTATGGAAAAGAATGATATGAAATGTGCAAACATTTTTGGCAATTTCTTAAGAGGACATTATATTGTGAGAGAAATTTTTTATTGTAGTTTATGCTTCACCTTCATAACTAATTTAGAGCATAGAAAAAGTTGAGTTCAGGTGATTCGAGAATAAACCATAAAGTTTCAATTACGGGGAAAAAAATTAAAAAAATTAAAATGCAAGTAAATTATTGGAAGAGAACTTCCCCATTGTGCTATCCTAAGTTATCTTCTAAATTATTGTTTTCATTTTGATACTTTAAAAATTTCTTTTCAATATTTGAAACTTCATAGTTGATTTTTATGTACTTTAAATTTTAAGTTACTTATAGAGGCAAAAGGAAATTTGCTATGAAAAGTTTCTCCTGTGGTATAGCATCCTCTTAAATAAAACAATAGTTTATAAATCCATACATTATAAATAAATTACCTATCATAAAACTACCTGAATACTATTTTTAATTCTTTTTTCTACAATTTTAAATATGAACAATATAAACTCAATTATTTATTATGTAAAAAGTAAAGTACTCTGGTAGCTGTTAGTTTTTTACTAAAATAGTTATAGAAGTTAAGTCTCCACAATTTCAACACAAAGAATATTATGGTCGGAAATACACACCAGTTGCCAGAGGAATAAAAACTCTGCCCTTCACAATGGCAGCTCATTAACTTATTTAGTTTTATTTGATTTATTTATTTCATTGCTGTGTTTAGGTATGCTCATTACTACAGTGACTCTCAACGCACATTATATAAAGCCTATGGAATGAAATTTATTGTTATGGCTCAAGGTAGAGGAGGAAAGTTTAACCCAGTTCCTCTACTTCTTAATGTTGGTTCTGGTTTAGGACTCCTTGCTGTGGTGAATACACCGTTCTTTTCTTCTTTTTATTTCGCAGAATAGTGATTATAATAGTTATAAAGTGCTTGTATTTATAATCTTAAATTTGAATAATTTAAGATTAATTTGAATATTGCCATTTTTTTTAAAATTGTAATTGTTCAAATTGTAAGAAATTATATTCATTTTTACTGTTTATGTAGTTCACTTATTCTTTTTTTTTTTAAATTTAAAAAAAGACAAGTAATTTTGTGAAAAAACAAAAGTAAAATGTCCCTTATATATTTGCATAAACATGTAATAGCTTAAAATTTTTTTGAAATTTCATTTTTGGGTTTTCAATTACATTTGCACTGCTATCTGTTTTACTTGTTTTGATGTTTAGCCAAAAAATATACACAGGGCAAAATGGCTTGCTTTGATAGACATAATGTATACAAGTCCTTTCAAGGCTTTTTGTGGTCCCTGTGTTTAAAGGAAAAAAGCAACGTTTAGAAGCACAATTAAGGTTTTTGAAACGGGTTTTCTCCCTCCTATCCTTCCAACTACTACTGTGATTGGGGAAATGTGATGAAATCTTTTTCCTTTTGTTGGTTTGGTCTGCATTTTTGAACTATTTATAAACAGTACTGTACAATTAATTAAAATATTTATTTTAAAATTCAACTATACCATCCTTGTTGATTAATTCCACCAAGATATTTTGAAATAGAAAGAATACATGGCGGTTGGAGGAAGACAGCGTACCCTACCTTGCATGTAAAAATGTCCAACAGTGCTGGGTTTTAATACCTATGATGCTCTGCTATATCTGAGTATGACGCTTGCCCTGTAAGTTGTTTTTCTGGTATAGCATACCATACTGAGCAGTCTCTGCGTTAGTTACGTATTCTGAGCTGCACTTTTATTTTCTATATTCTTTGGTTTAGCCCTCAAAAGATTCTGATAAGAATATTACTTGACTTTTAAATATTCATGAAGTTTAACCTTTAGAAATTCATCGATAAAATTGAATATTTATAAGAATAATTTAATTTATAAAATTAATTAATTTTATTTATTGTCTTTTAAGTTTCATTTATCATTGAAATTTGAAATGTTTTTTATTTTATTTTTGTAAACAGTGCCTTTTCTATTCTTTTGCAGGCTACAATATTATGTGATATTGTTGTATTATACTTACTCAAAAAGCGAGATTATTATAAAGCTATGAAATATCAGAGCGTTGCTGATGATACCGCAAATGTAAGTAATAAAAGTAAAGTAAAATATGATAAGTCTATATTGTGAAAAAGTAATAATTCTTTAAAATTCATATGTTTTTATTATATATGAATATTAAGTTTTCTATTAAGTTTAATTTTAAAAAATATTCATCCTCTTTGGATCAAAATAAATTAGATGTACATTTTATATTTTTAATGTTACCAACATTTGTTAGGTGAGCATTATTGCATCTTGGTTAAAAGAATGAAAGAGCTTGAAGTTAGCTTTTGTTTTAAATATACATTGTTATATATATGTTACGGTTAAAATAATCAATCTGGTTATTAATACTAAGCAGTCAAATAATAACTGCTTCTTTTGGTCAAAGTGAGAAATATTGCAAATTATTAATTTTAACCAGTTATTAATAATAACCAATGAATTTTGGTCAATGTGATTAAACGGTTTATATAGCATTGGGACATGGGTGTGTCTCTTTATATATGCGTTACGGTTAAAGTGATAAATCTGGTAATTATAAATACTGACTGTTCAAAATTAATATTAACCACTTCATGATCTGTGGCAGAATAATTGCCAAGTCTTGGCAACATCCAAGCAGTGGCCCACGAGAAACTAAGAAACACGTCACAGAACATGTCCAACTCGAAGGGTATAACTCCTAGCCACCCCAGAGCAAACATCTACTTTTTTTTAAATATATTTTTCCAGTTTAAAATCAATTTGCCACCTAAGTAATTGTAGTTGGTTTGGTAGATCACGATACGGAAATATCCCCAATAAAAACACAAGAGAATGACATGAACTGAACTTCATTGCTTATTATTAATAAATTTGCTTAAATTATTCACTTTAACCAGCTTATTTGGTTATTATTAATATTACCACCGGTTGGGGTTAATTACAACCAACTATTTACATTGACTGTAACATAAACAATACATATATATATATTTGTATTTAAAAGAAAGTGTTATTACAGTTATAAGTTTAGAAAAAAAAATCAAATTAGTCAATAGTTTTGAACTCTTAATAAACAATCGAGTACTGGAATTTATGCTAAAATAATGCTGAAAGTCTGTAGATGATCATTAAGTAATTTTTTGTAAGTAGTTATAGTTTGAAATAATGCATCATATATTCCATCTTCGCGATGATAATTTTTTCTAGTAAGTAAAAAAAAAGTGTTGAAATTATTTTGTTAAATTTCAAAGATTTACATAGAGGTACCCAAAGTATCATTCCACATTTACAATTATTTTATGTTATTTATTTCATAAGAATAAAACCGCCGACCGGCCTGTGTAGGGGGCAGAGAACTGTCTTTGCGTCAGAAAGGTACTGGGTTCGAATCCCGGGCAAGGCATGGATGTTTCTTTCTCTCTCTCTGTGTTCTATGTCCTTTCTCCTTTGTGTGTGAATGTGACCCGCCCTATAAACAGGTTGTGGTTGTGTGAATGGTGACAGAAGTCGAATTCCTGGACATAGATGGCACCACTAAAAAACAGGAACAATCCCACCCCCACTGCCTAAACAGGCATATGACAAAAAAAAAANAAAAAAAAAAAAAAAAAAAAAAAAAAAAAAAAAAAAAAAAAAAAGGAATAAAACTGGTAAGCTCATTTAGTAAGTCACATATTGAATATTTTCTTTACCAATTATGATATTTTCATTTTTGTCTTTTAATAAAAGACCATATATCATTTATCTTTGCATTATTTGCCTTTTAATGATGAGTTCTTTGTTGGGTTTCAATAAAAAAGTATTCTTGTTTTTATAATCTACATTTGTAATTTTCTGTTTATGTTTGAACATTTTTTAATATTTTGATTTGTCAATACAATAGCTGCATATTTATTTATCTTCTTATTTTTCAGAACAATTTTGTTGGAAAAAGATTGGAAGGCTCTTTCAAACAAGATTCTGAATTTACTAGTTTGAAAAGTACTGGTAGATAATAATTTGGAAACAATTGTTGATGTAGTTCATCATATTAAAGCTCAAAAGTTTCAATTTTAAAAGTTTAAATTTCAAATGCATATTTTGCATTTTCATTTCATCAATTTAGACTCACAAAAAGTTGACTTAACAGTACCATGAACATGATTTTGTCTTATTGTATTGATATGCATTTAATATAGTTTTCTATTAAATTATCAATTTTAATTTCATAAAAAATCAATCATATTTTATTGTAATTAAATAGCATATTGAAATTAAGAAATTGCAATTTTATTGTAATTAATATAATAATTGAAATTTCTTTTCATCAGTCTATTAAATTGAACAAAGTGCTGGTATGAAATTTTAAATATATTATGCAAAATTTGATTTATGTCAGATCAGGATTCTCAATTTGATTCTCAATTAAGCTATATCTAACTTCGTAATTCTCTCAATTCCTTACAAGTAATGTGATATTTTTATTACAGTTTTATTGTCAACCATTTTTATTATCAACCAACTTAATTTTTGTGTGTAAAAAGTTTTGATACATAGACTACATGATATTTCTCTATACTCGTGCTATTAAAACATATTTATGTTTTGTTATACTTATGATAAATATGCCTAAAATGTTAATGGTTAAAAAATTGTATGTTGTTTTTCATATTGGATATTATTCTTTGAAAGAAATGTTCAAAAAATATTTTGTAAACTTAAAGTGTCATAAATTAGTGCCATATTCATAAGTGCCATTCTTCATAAAAAAAATTTTTTATTGGTGTAAAGCGGAAAATCTTAAGAATGTCTAAAATTAGAATCTAATACTTGATACATTGTAAAGAAAATGTTAGAATTTATGGACTTCACAAAAAATGTGAATGAAACCTGTGATTTTTTTTATATTTTTAAATATTGTATGCCTGGCAAGTAGGGTTGGGGTTTGCTGATGTTATTTAATATATCTAGTCAAATTGTGTGTGTGTTGAATTTTACTTAAAATGGCGATTGCATGGAATACTAGTACGAGATGTTTTTTTTTATATGGAGTGTTTTGAATGTGATTGTTTTGCCCCATTCAGATTTATATACATTTGTTGTAATTGATTATAATAAAAAATTTGAAATTTTTGTTATGATTATATAGTTCCTATTAAATAGCATACATTAGTTTAAAGACTAGATCTCAAAGTGAAAAAGGCTTAGATCTCTATATATTATATTTGTTACCGTATATTTCCAAACATAATTCTTTGCTATGTATAAGCCTAGAGTATACTTTTTTGCAAATTTACACGGAATTCAAAACCCATATGTAAACTGACATGAGTAACTTTCAATATCTCTTCTGGACTACCCAACCATCTTCCTAGATAAGCTATCTAGATAGCTATTCCTAGATAAGCTATCTAGATAGCTATTCCTAGATAAGCCTAACCATGTTCCTTCCTAGATTCAATCAGTTGCATTTTTTAATGAATGTATAATTTAGAAATATGTTTTAACTCATGCTTTGAATACATGAAATATGTTCTAACTCATGCATTCATATCACACATATTAAACTTAAATTTCGCGATTATCACTCGCAAAGAAAGTTAGTATCAGTATGATGTGATCTGTAATTAAACTTAAATTTCGCGATTTTAAATCAAATTATGTTTTTTCAAAGTAAGAATATATATATTTTTCTTTTTTTATGAAGGTCATAACTCATTGCAATGTATGATTTTGCATCGATCCCAGTCAGGCCCGGATTGGCCAGTAGGCAGACCGGGCAAATGCCCGGTGGGCCGGTCTGGCCTGAGGGCCGGTTGGACCGAGCCAGCAGCGCAAATTTTTATTTATACATTGCATGAATTTCAAATAATATTGCGCAAATAATAATAATATTAAATAACATATATATAGATACGAAAAAATTCTGATTATTTACTTCAATTTAACATTTTTATCAAAAATAATTCACTTATATTATCAGAATCGCTTCAATTTTTATAAAACATGGGAAGAAAAGCACAAATGTGTTTTAATGAAGGTAAAAGACATTATGACGAAAAAAAATTTTTTTTAGTGCATGTGTCAAAATCTATTATCTTGAAAATAGTAGGAGATATTAAAAAATATTTTAAGTAAAGGTTATTTCTTTTCAAAAACTCTCTCCAATGATGCCAAATAAGATGTAGGTTTCTATTGAAAAAATATATGAAATATCGTGTATATGAAAGACTTCTCGCTGTTGTAGAAAGTAAATCTTCAACCGGACAGAATGTGTTTTCTTTAGTGGATTCAGTTTTAAAGTCTTGTAATATAGATATAGCAAAGTGCATCGGTAATTCAACTGACGGGGCTGCAAATATGTAAGGTGAATATAAAGGATTTACTTCATAGCTTTCCAAAGAGTCCCCTGATCAAATTCATGTTTGATGTTATGCACATGTCTTATTTAGTATTAGGAGATACCACGAAGGCACTAATTGAAAGTATATCGTTTTTCAGCCTACTAAATAGCGTCGCAGTATTTTTCCGTGAATCATACCAACGCATGAACATCTGGGAACAAAGTAACGAGTTCAGAAATAAGAAAAGGCTCGCAACTATTGGAGAAACACGTTGGTGGTTCAACGATTCTGCATTAAAGAAAAATTTTGGTTAATTTTCAAACTGAGATTCAACTATTAACTATATGTCACATTGATTACAAGTTTAGAAACTATACAGCAAAATTCAAATTTCAAGCCAGATATCCGTGCAAAGGCAAAAATATTTTTAGAATCATTTTTCAAATATGATACAGTATTCACCGCCAAAATATTCTCAAGAATATTTGAATTAACTACACCGCTCTCCAAATATTTACAAACCTCCGGTTTAGACATCTTAAAAGCTTTTGGAATGGTATCACAAACGTGTTCAGAACTAAAAAAAAAAGTGAGAGATTTTGAAGGTGTACAAAAAGTTACAAATGATTTCATTATTCGCGCAAATAAGGAACTTGAAGAAACTGAAATTCAAACAAAGTTTCCATAAAAAAGATTGAAGAAAAGAAAATTGATGCCGGGTGAGACAGCGTCGAATGAAACAGTTTTTGATGATGAAACCACTGCATTTAAGATAAACGTCCATAACATTATTTTCAGCACAGTTGTAGCGTCAATGGAACGCCGATTTCCGGCAAATGGAAAATTGTACGCCGATTTTTCCTATCTAGATCCGAAACGTTTCCCTGAAAAACGTCTTAACAAGCTTCAATCTGGCGAACTAAATGAGTTAAGCAAACTCTTGCTAAAATTTGACGAAACAGCTATAGGTGAAAATTTGCGGATTGAACTAAGAAATTTAGCTTTACATTGGGAAAAACTGAAAAATTCAGACTTAGAAGATTATAAAATAATCACAGAAGATCATTCAAATGAAGATAATAACGACTTTACTTTGGAAACAGAAGAAGAAGTAAGTCTAAAATGTGAAACACGCAGTGCGTGCAAAAATTGTGTTATTTGTTGCTACAAGATATTACTGAGATACAATTTATTGACCAATTCTTGCAATTTAATTGGTTCAGCATTAAAATTTTTACTAACATTGTCAATAAGTCAGGTGGCTTGGGAAAGATCATTCTCCACATTAAAAGTAATTAAAAATCGAATGAGGAGTACTTTATCTTCGGATAATTTGAATGCTCTCATGGTAATGGCAATAGAAAAAGATCTATTAATGAAATTAGATAGCGACGACATAATCGATAAAGTGGCAGAAAATAGTGAGCCTCTTCAAAAGTTAAATTAAATTTTAATTTAATGACTTTTGAAGAAGCATTAAATATATTTTTAAAAAAATGTTTATATAAATCATTCATGTATGTGTAGTATAATAAATATTTTTATTTACTCCTCATCTTTCACCTTCTTTGTGATTTTATCAACCTATGTTTCCTCATAAGAACCATGTATTTTAAACTGAACTATATTCTATAATAAGCAATTTTTATCTACTTTCTTACTTCGATAAATTAACTTACGTTCATGAGAATTTATAAGTAAAAAATGCCTAAAAATGATACATTAGGAGCTGCGGACGCTTCGCGCACACGGTGTTTATGTGAAGTAGAGGGCCGATATCTCTAAAATGCCCGGGCCGATTTTAAATCCCAGTCCGGGCCTGATCCCAGTTGTTTTTAAACTTATTCAAATGATAGTTTACGTTACATATGCCGTATAAAGGATGTTATCTTTAAGTTACAGTAATCTGTATCTTTAAGCACAGAATAATTTCTTACTAATATTTATAAATTTAGATATAAATGTTATTTATTAGTCTATGAATTAAACAAAATCTGTTATGGATTACCCAAATATTTTAATAATTTTACAAATGATTTGATGCTTTCATCTATTTCCTACAATTTTAGAACGACCACTATCAAAAACAGTGGTTGTGCTTTATGAAAAGAACATTTGGTCAAATAATGATTTAATTAGTTGTTGCCAATTAGTTGTTTACTGTCAAACATTATTCTGAAATACACATAATTCCAATTTAATACCATATGAGAGAAATGTATCTTTATAGATTTCCTTCAATTACAGAGTGTTCGTCATCAAAAACAATGCATGTGCTTCCTGGTTTGTCAAAAAAATTTTAGTCATTGCCAATGATTACTCTGAAATATGCGTAAAACCACTTTAATATTTTACATAATAGAAATGTATATTAATATGATTTAATTTGCTTAGTAATTAAATTCTTGATATTTATTAAGATGATTTAATTTACATCGAGCAAAATTTTTACTGTCAAACATTTTAGTTTTTATTATCCTTAAATTTACTATTCTGTATTTAATTCAATTCCAATTGTAATGATACTGTTTGTAACAAAGTAATGCACACAAGATAGTTTACAATTTATTTATTTCGACATCAAAATCATTGATAAGGCAGTTTAATTTACCATTTCACTTGTTTCAGGTATTATGTGTTTTTTCAAGTCTATGTACTTTTGTGCTAATTAAGTTTTTAAAACAAATATGAAATATACAAAATATTAAAAAATACTGTAGAATAACTGGATTTAAGTAATTAAAATAAACTTAAATAACAGTTAGAAGATGATACAATACCAATGGCCCTTTTCATCTGTCTCTCATTTACCTAAGTTACTGCAACAATATGTTTTTATCTTTAGCCTGTTTGTACGGCAAGATTCTAAAACAATGTATTTTGTTTAGTAGTCTTAGCCATAGTTGTTTCTCGAAGGACTTCATTTATGTGAGGAGCAATCTTAATTTTATCGAGACATTTTCTTCTTTGAAATACTATCACAGGTTTGTATATTTGCTATTCAAAAAGTAGCCTAACACTCATGAATTCTCAGTAAATTTTACTGCACACATTTATCCTTAGGTAACATTACATTAATTCGCTGATTGTTTTGGCTTAATTTACTTTGGCTCAGGATATTCTCCTTTTCTTAATTAGGGATATTTTAGATTCCACATAAGGGAACTCTCTGTAGGACTTCTTGTACTCTGGCTCGCCATAACCATAATAATCATTCCCAATAGGTGCATATTTGTGTTTGTTCAAGGCAACTTGGCGAAGGTAGTCTGGTTCCCCCTCGTACAAATCTGAAGCACCCGCGTAGTCGAGAAGCCTTTTCCGGATGTCGCCAATTATTGGCTTATTGCTTTCAATTGTATAATCTTCCTGGTAATTATAGGGATCATCATTCGTTGGATATTTTGATGGGCTATTGTAAGCATCATCTGAATAACTACTGTGGCTATAGGTGCCATAGTAAGGGGGCGAATCTTCATAGCGGCCAGAGCCATACATTGCTGAGCTTCTTCCACTGAAAAACATTTTAATGTTTATTTTTGTTGTAATATACATATATATACACGCATATATAATGAAATTTTATATTTAAGTCTCCCAGAATCTGCCATAAAATCTCAATTTCCATTAACAGATACACATATTTTCAATAATATGCATTTCTTGGGTAAAATCCTGCTTGTTGTCATTTAAAATTAGGAGACCTAATTGTTAAAATTTCATAATTTACTTTCTAAACGTTATATTTTGAACTTTTAAAACTAAAATATTTATGCTTTAAAAAATTAAAACCTGTTTCTGACCGCACAAAAAAATGAAGCAATTTGTCCACTCTGGGACACCACTAAATATTTTTTGATTTGGTTATAAATTGCTTTGGTTAATGTTTGATCACGGTGGCATCGTTTTGTCAGTTGGAAAATTTAAAATTTTTAACGTCTTCCATTTAGTTGCTAATGTTGTTCTGTTTCCACTGAGTTTTCAAAATTTTCTCTGTATTTAAGTATTTGCTTTTAGCAGTGTTATTTCGTATGTGGATTTATTCCCTTTAATGTATTATATTAGTTTATTCTATTAGTGTTTCAATCTGAAGTTCATTTTTTTTATTTATTTTCGAAAAAAAGGACCGAAACTCTTTTATTTTCAATTGCATGCCATAAAATAGTTATTAAATGAATTGCTTTAATTTACATGATCTAGTTATCTACATCTTAAGTGTCGAGAGATAGTTCATCATACAATGTTGCTCTTCTGGCGTCTCTTTCTTATAGGTTTTTAATGTACTTTGGAAAGGAATTCATTAAAAATAAAGAAATCCACTGTGCAAACTTATTTAGTTCAAAATGTGCAAAAAGAATGTGATTATTATAAAACATGAAAAAAAAATTACCTTTGCTTATAAGGACTGGTATAACTTCTGGTCTTAGAAATTGGATAAAAGGTATCTATGGGTTCTTTAGAGGAGGGTGATAAGTATGGATCCCTTTGAGAAACCTTTGGTTTAGATGATTTTGATGGTACATAATATTCTGAGTAGGGTGCTTCATAATCTATTCTCCTTGGCTTAAATTTGCTCTCCAGTTCATCAAAATTCCTGTATTTCGGCTCTTTATATCGCCTTGCCTTATGTTCATCCGTGTCAGTTTTATCTTGATATCCTTGTCGGCGAATCGCACCATACCTGTATGGGATTTTACGCTTCTTTTCGTTGCTTTTCTTTTCACTTGTTTCTGAGACAGTCAATTTGGATCCGTAGTCTTTGGCCTGAAATATTAAAATAAAACACGTTAGTCTTCTACTTTGCTAAGTATTGAAATAATTATGCCTTCTGTTGTAAGTGTGATTGCAATTGCTGTGTTTAGTTCGGTAAGGCATTGGATCCCCGCTTCCGAAGACTACCCGTGTAATAAATGGTGTCTGGTCACCCGTAAACAAATCAATACCTCTGAGGGTACTGAATTGGAGATTGATCGTTCTCTGGCTCAGGTCAAATTTACGGTCGGTGGATGAATGAATAAACGGGTTATGACTTGTGTGTATTGCTGAAGATGTATTCTCGGCCATAGATGGCGTCATCGAAAAACAAGATATGCACCATCTGCTTTAAATTTGTTTTGTTTCACCAAGCAGGCTTGCTGGTGTGGCATTAGAAACAACAACAGTTTCTCAGTTTAAAAAGTAAGAAACTTAAAGCACTTAATAATAACTTTAATCGAAATAAAACAGTCGACTCAATACGGTAAGATCAAGAATTAAAATTAAAAATTTAGACAATGAATTTTCTTCTCTCTATTATGATTTTTACTCCACAATTGCGGTTAATTTTTTTTTTTAATTTTTATTTATTTTTTTTTAATTTTTTTTTTTTGCTTTCTAGTATTTATGTAACAAAAGAGTGTATTTCCAGACGTAATATTGTTGTTTTTATGTTTGGACGTATTTCTTATTTTATTATTACACCTGAAATACTGAAAATCACATATGCCAACACATTTATGATGGTTAATTAACATAAAAACAAAGTTATCAAATTTAAAAAAAAAAATCTTAAATTCGCCTTTTCAATAAAAGGGTTGCCATTTGGAACACTTATTTTCGATAACTACATTGATCACTTTTTTTTATGTAATTTGAAAAAAAAAAGCATCATAACTAACTCAAACAATAATATGAAGACGCAATTATTTATTTTTTTAAGGAGATTTCTTAGTAAAAAAAACTTGCATTTAATAGCTTTCTAGGCCACTGTAGTTAGAAAATCGATCGGAAAATTTCATCTTTAATATAACTATCAAAATTAATTTAATTAACGAGTGTAAAAATGGTTAACTTGGAGTGAAATAAAACTTATAAGCATCATAGGTTTCATAGGGGAAAAAATGTTTCTGAAAATTTGCAAATGGTGTTAATCGAGTAACAATTTATAAAGAAATGAAGCAAATTTTAGCGTCCTCGTCAAAAATTATACTTTTTTTTAAATATTTATACGAGTAGAAATTATATAATTCCAACTTAATATATTTTGCATAAGTGAGTGCTATTATATCCACATTTGTTAGTGAAAACACTATTCGTGGAAACATTATTATTACATATTATCTTTATTTCTAATGGTAAGATTAAAAGACAACTACAGCAACAAAAACAAAGAATCATGTATATGGAAAAACCATAAAAAAAGTCAGAGGGAGAGAAAGAAAAAACAAAGAAAACACCTGTAATGAAAATCGAAGGATTCAAATGACCCCTAATTTTTAAGTTGAAGTTCACAAGAATGCATTTGATGAGGTGGTCACAATCCATGACATGTCCCAGATTACATTCAAACTGCTTCGGAAAACAGTCATGGCCTGTGGCGAGCCTAAACTCGGCCATTATTTAATGTCCGGGCCATTTTTAGACAAGATATGATTTGTATTTACATTATATTTTTATTACTATTATTTTGAAGATGAAATTTAGAAAAGTTCATCACTTGCTTCATTCCCTGATTCCGATTTAGAAAATCATCTAAGAGGAGCATAGAATTAAAAAATTAATTGATAATATAAATATCTCATTAGTCAACACTCATAAGTTTATAAATTAAAATTTTAGAATTGAGTTCATTTATGCTGTATTTGTATTAAAGTCCCGTCCGCTTTAACTTTTCTCGTCATCAAAGTGGCCTGTGAAACCATTTGGTTGGCCAGGCCTGATTTACACTGATATTGTCTACTTCGACATTAAATAATTCATTGATCTATAAAAGAAGACCTGCACTGAACTGTTGTTAAGAAGAACAGGTTTCAATCTCCAGTAGCACCTTAAAACTCTCCCAACTTCAGATCAGTGGTACCAATTTGTCTGAAAATTAAAGGCGATTTGTACGCTGTGCCCTCTACAATACTACAATCATGCTATTGGTCACGAAATTGTGGAGCCTTATACTCCATAGGTCCCCAATGAGCTGTTATGGGAATTCTTGACAATGCTGATCAGTATTCTGGACGATAAGTCCGATTAAATTAAAAAGACGTTTGATAATATGTTTTATCAGGAGTAGAAATTAAGAAAATTTAATCACTGATACGAAAGACCATTAATTTAAAGATCATGAAATCCGATGTGTACGAATTGTATAATCTCTACAATGAAAATGTGTACGGTTATACAATACGTACACATCTTCAGAGGTCAAACAGACCTCAGTCGTTTTTAGATTATTTTTTTAAAAAGTTAAACTGAATCTATAGTAAAATTTACAATATTTTTTCTTCCATTGCCCACCCGAATAATAACCTACGTCATACAGCAGGCAGCAGGGATACTACGTCTACGTCATGAAGGACAGATTTCTTGGCCACTCTCTTTCAGGGGCCCCATATTAGGTGAGCCAACGTTGCTCCCACAGTAAGGATAAATAGTACAAAGAATGAAAGAATATCCATGTCTTGTCCGGTTTTCGAACCCAGAACCTTTGCAGGCCATTTCCCTGACCCCCACACAGACCGGTCGGCAATTTACCATGCATAGACTGTGTAATGTCATAATTGTGATAAAATATGCAATTTTTAGACAAAAACAGATCCAAACATATAATAACGAAATAAATTTAAAAGACTTACTGAAGCGATTGGCTCTATATCTTCTGTATCCTCATCATCGTCTGATCTGGAACTGATGACTGGATTTAAAGTTGGAGCTATGAGAAAAGGATAGCCGTATTTTTTAAGTCCTGAAGTTGCAGAACCTGTAGATTGTATTTTATAGGTATTGACTGCTACACTTGACGCAACTAATAAATCTGCATTGTCTGATTTCTCTAGTTCTTTGGCAGCTTCACAAGTTTTTATAATGCAAAACATCACACAGATGACTAAACTTTGGCTGATTTTTGATTTAATCTTGCGAAAAGCCTGGAAGAAATAAAAACAAATATCATTAAAGCACTGTAAGCTGAAAGAAAAATTATATTTTGCATCGGGATACGCAGCCCTTGATACACCAATTTCTACGATTGCTTTTCAATTATTTTTAATGATAAACGGATTGTTGCATCAAAATTAAAAAGTTTCAAATAAAAAATTCAAATTTTCTAAATTTTTTTTATTTTATCAATCAATGCAAATTTGTTTCCACACAAATATAGGGGAGTGTCGGGTACCCCCGCCCACTGTCAATTTCATGTGTATAGAACATTTTTTCAAGTCAATGGGCCATCGGACATTAATTGTGATATTAAAAAAAGATTATTTTCTAAGTTTCAAGTATTTATGCAGCTGGTAACATGGTAAACAATGGATGGTGTTTTCTACACTAGGGAGCGCTGCAAGCTCGGGACTGCCTAAATTTCCGGGTTACTGTTTCAGTTGTATTTTAAAGCCATTTGGCATCATTGTGTTTTGAGATTCTTGCAAACAATGCTTTTGATTACTTATGTTTACAATGATAACAATACTGTTTACAATACTAAAAGTGTTAACACTAACGTAAGATGGTGCGCAGCTTGCAACACGAACAAACAGTAATAAACAACTGGAAAGAGGCCAAATCAAGACTGCCAAAAAAGCGAGTTATTCAAAATCTAGCAACCATGTCACCTTTTTTAATAATAAATAACAAAATAACTAAAACAAATTTTCACTCCAAACTCCCCAGAATTACATAATAACATTAATATCTTATGAAATACGGCAGATTTGAGCTCAGAAATCATCTAGTTTATTTCTTTTATTGAAAACAAAATTATCCGTTTGAAAACATCGCCTATCAGAATAACATGTAGTAAGCAGCTGCAAACTTTTTAACCGGAACTAGAGTAGGTCCCGAGCTCGAGATTGTTATTGTTTACATTTCTACTGAAAACACCATCCATAGTTTTGAAAATACGTTGAATACAGTAGCTGTTTGAATGGCTGTTTGAAAATAATGCAGAGTTTGATTATTTATAAAATTTGTGACAGCCATAGTATGTCGTTTTATAAAGTAAATATATCTGTATAGGAACTGTGTCAGTCCTGTGTTAACGACGCTCCAATAAATTACATTAACACAGTGGCGTGCAAAGGTTTTTGTATGCCTGGGGTAAATTCCGCGCTTAGATGCCACTGCAAAGAGGAGTGTAATCGCCTAAGGAAATAGGAACAAGTTTTTTCTCTTTCTTTAAAATAATAATAATAAAGGTTTATAAAAATTGAAAATCCACATTTAATCTATTTTTATGTGAATCTATGCGAAAATTATTGTAGGGTAAAAAAATAGTTTTAACGATTCTTTCTTCTTAAACGCGAAGATGATTTAAATTTTAACTACCTAAAACATAATTATTACATTTTTAAACCCCATTTTATTCTCCGTAAGGTATTTTTCTCGTGACAAATTCAATGTTGAAATAAAAATAATAGTAGCAGATTTAAAATTTTTATGATTTTAGTCGTCGATTGAATACCCCTATTCTGTCTGAATACCCCTATTTCGCCTCTTCATCTTGCCATTACATTAACGTTAAGAGTTACACAGTATTTTTCATTAATATGCGTCTTTCGTGTAAAAATTAATTTTTGCTTTATCCTAAAATTGCTATTTTATTTATTTATCTATTCACAAATTTAATTGGTGATTTAATTCGATTTAAAATGAATTTAGCTATAAATGGCTCTCACATATTTCATCAAAAGTATTATGCATCAACATTTTTAACTAATGAAATTTAAACCATTTGTGTTTAAAAGTAAAAGAAGTTTAAAATGGAAACAAGCGTTTCATTTTTAGCATTCATATTTCTTAAACAATTTATAGCTCTTCCTACTGTATTGAATTAGTTGCATAATATTTGTAAGTACTACATTACTACATCGTTAATTACAAATTTTTACAACACTAATTACAAATTGCTACATCACTAATTACAAATTACTACTTCTCAAATTACAGATCAGTACATCTCTAATTACTACATAACTATTTACAAATTACTACATTATTTGTAATAACTGAAAATGAAAACAAATAATATTAGTTAGAAGCAAAATTTAATTTTTTATTTATTGGATTTATTTATGGATACTTGCAAGGGGGGATAAGAGGGCGCAAATGCACCCTCGATCCCTTTTGACCCCCCTTGACGGTTATCCATAGCGAGAAATTAAAAAGTTCGTAACTATGATAAAGTATTAAATAACGATAAGTAAAATTAAAGCCATTGACTTATTGAAAGGTATGCCAAACGTTTCTCTCTTGATAAAAGTAGAGTTAGAAATCGGAAGCTTGCCTTTTGGCTATAGTAAATCCTCAATGTCCATTACGAAACGATTTCTTCAGCTCAGCTTTGAAAAAAAGAAAACAAAAATCTGGGTTGAGGAGTTCATGTGGGAGTGACGAAAGAAATTTTAAGGAAGAAGATGCTACTTGAAGATGGTCAAAGTTGCGAAAGAGGTCTGCCAATCAGTGGCCTAAATTTCACCATTTCGTGACCTCCCCTAAGTTGAAGATCATGCAAATTACTTTTCATTGTTAAGAGATAATGGTTTGTTGAAATGGGAGGAAAGTGATCTTTTGTTACAAGTATTTTTAATAAATTGGGAAGTCGAATTTCCATTGTTATTTATATCGATATTTTTTTTAAAAGAAAATTAAGACGAAATTTATTTTGAATTGATTTTTTAAAGAGGAAATTCACTATTTATTAATGTATATTTCATATGACTCTATTTCATTACTCTATTTTATTTCCTTAACCCTCTAACGCAGAATTTTGATGAAACATATTTTTAATATTTTTTTCCTTATTTTGCATTAATTTAGGTCAAAATAAGTGAAAAATAATATATTTAGAATTTTTAAAATTCATGGTAAAATGAAATATTACATGAAACACCTGTGTCGTTTTCTGCGATAAGGGTAAAATCTTTACAACACGGCTCACTTCTAAATAATAACTTTTCAAATTTGCAGTTATTTAGATCTAAGAAAAACAATTATTCATCATTGAATTTTTTTTTAAATTTACAAAATCAATTATTGATAAATTTTTGGATATGAATGAAAAAAAATATTTTCAAACTACTTCTTTTGCATTTTAAATTTTAGTACAAATATAATTCCGATAATCTTGCAAATATTTTTTGGTAATTATTAGACTGTTTTTTTATAATTGAAAAATACCAAAATATACTTTTGCTTTTTTGCTTGCAATTATATAGAGCATCATTACATATATAAATATATAGATATATTAGAATTAAGGAATACATATATCATTAGAATTAAGGTAATTATGTTTTTTTTTCAAAATTAATAAAATACACAAAAATTTTATTTAAATTTGCAAATTTTAGTTCAAAATTTCAGTTGCTCTCCTGACTGAACTACTGGGAACATGTTTTTTAGATTTAAGGGTACACCTATTTGTACCTTTTTTCCGTTCTCATGATTTGAGGGTTACGAATTCTAATCCATCAAATAAAACATTTAATGTCTTGTTTATTTAGATTTATTTTTTGTCTGATTCCCTAACTGGAATATTATCTGCCCTGCATAGTTAGTATATTCAGGTATACCCCACACAGTATTTTTTTTATTTTTTTTTATTCAAGAACAAAATAATTCCTCGTGCACCACTGAAAAAGTACAACACGAGGCTTACAGATGTAAGTATGGTAGCAAACAATGTAGGATTTTTAAACAGAAATATATACTAAAAGGGCATGTAAAAATTCGAAGAAAAAAGAAATAAAAATAGAAAAAGTAATAAAAACTAAAAAACATTTACAAAAAGGATGAGGAAAAAGAAAAATTTAAAATAGTACACAAAACAAAGTGATTTATAAAATTGCATTAAAAACTGAATCAATGAATCGTTTCTTTTTTTCCTCTTTTTCAGTGTACGTTCGCAACTAGAAAAATTACAAACCGGTAACAAAATTGTTATAAAAAAGCTGAGAATTTCTTGGTATCAGTTTTCCCTTTAGAATAACAAGCTTATACAAACATTCAGACAATCTGCATTCTTTAACCTTGAGTTATAGAATTGAGTAATATCTGGTAATTACAAATATAATAAAACACAATTTCTCGTTTAAATAATACTATCACTCTTAAAATTTTTCCAGATGCGTACGAACCTTGCTTTTTATTTATTTATTTTTAAAGCACTATACTATAATGCGAATTTGAATATAATTTTTTATTTCAGATTTATTTTCAGTGTTAATATTGTACAGGGAAATGTTTTTTTTTCTTCTATTTATGAGCTTTAAAAACTTTTCGATGCTATAAAAGATAAATTCATTTCCTCATTCTTTAAGCGTTTTGAATTTTACTAAGACTAAAAATATGGGAATTCGAAATATGGGTGATTTGATACGTTCTTTAAAGTGATGCAATTATTTAAAATACGTCATAATGTTTTTTGAAAAGATAGTCTATTTTCAATCAGAGAACAACAGGTGGATTTAGACTAGTGAATTTCAGTTCTTTAAGTAGTCGTATCTTAACTTCATTTAAGCGCATTCCAGTTTTGTTTTTCAAAAAGGTTTTGTTGGTCTCATATACACGCTTTCACTTTTTTCTCTCGAATTCACCTTTGTTCGTGTGAATGAAAGAGCTTAGGTGAATCTTTTTATTTTTTTTTAAATGTAATGGCCTGTTTATTTCTTGGGAAAGCGGTCACGGATTAACACCTTTTTTGTTGAATAACTTTCTCTTTTGCCTTACTTTATATCGCATAAGGGAAAAAATAGAAATATTTTTATTAATTCGTATGGACTTCTGGGCCATGTACAGAGTTTCCAAGGATCTTGGGAAAATTTCACAATGATAACGAAAAGAAGTCAAACTCGATAATTTAAAACATATTTTACAACTAAATGTTATTATCATTATTATTTTCCTGAAAAATATATGAGTGTTTTACTAA